AATATGGTCCATGTTGTTCTCATTTGCTTATGATACATTCCTTTATGTCTAGATCATATATCCATTTTGACCTTATCTTGGTAAATGGTGTAAGGTATTGGTCTATACCTAGTTTCTGTCAGACAGCTTTCCATTTTTCCAACAGATATTTGCCAAATAGTGAATTCTTATGCCCCAAACTTAAATTGTTACATTTATGAAACACAAGGTTTTTATATTCAGAATTATTCTTTCAAATGCAGTTTGTCCTATGGTCATATCTGTTTTATATTTTCCTAATTTCTATTTATGTTTATCATGCTGTGTGAGACATATAAGTCTCCTGTAATTGTTAGATTATATTTTATGGTCTGTTTTCTATCCTGTTCACCTTAATGAATTTAGATATTAAAAACCATTTTGTGTAAATACATTCACTGGTGACGATAGTTTTATTTGCTGCATAGTAAATTTTGTACTAGCCTCCCATCTTCATTCTGTAAGTAGTTTTATTTTTTAGATGTGTTATTTATTTGCAACAAATTTATGGGCCTTGTTTTCTTATCCATTCTCCCATTCTCTTTCTTTTTATTAGATTTTAAAATCTAGGTACATTTATGGTTATAATTGTTGAATTTACATCTTCTATTTATTTCTTTTGTCTTAATTCTTGTCTCCTTTCAAGTTAATATTTTGTCCCAGAGATTAAATTTGCTTATAGTAATTTCATGCTTGTCAGTTCCCAAAAGCTTTCCCTCTCTCCTGATTACCACCTCCTCAAAGTTCCTTGAATTAACTTGTATTGCTGATATTTCTTTCTTTGTACCTCCCCAGATCTTTGACCTCAACCAGAGAAACATTCCTCAACCAGATAAATGTGTTACTCAAAATTTTGCCTTCCCACTCCAGCACCACTGCCAAAGTTTTTACTTAAATAATATTCTTTTGTGGTACTTTGTTCCACGAAGTTTTCATTTATTATGTCCTAAATATTCCTATCCTTTTCTTATTGTGTCATAGATGGGATATGAATATTCATATAGAATATAAATTTTATTTATATATATAAATCCATTTCCATAAATACATTGTGGGGAAGGAGAGAGAGAATATAAGGGCAAGGCTTATGTGAGAAAATGGATATAAAATACCTTGCCAACCTTACAGTGTACATACACACACATGTACATATATATATATACTAATTATCATCATCATTATTATTGTTATTAGCCTATTTGCCAGGGCTAATTTTTGCACTCCCCCTGAGCTCAAGCAATGTTTAAAAGAATTTGCCAGTGAATATTAACAACCAGATTTCCAGGGGAAAAAATGTATTCACACACTTTAAAGTTTAATCTTACTTGTTTTAACTTTTGACAGCAATGGAAGTGTATAAAGCAGCTTGACGTTATTTGTGATTCAAACAAAGGTAGTTGTCAGCAAATTGACTTTACTATGGTATAAATTTCACAAATAAATGCTGTTTTTTCTTGTAGTTTTATGTTGAATTCATTGTTGTTTTTCAGTCGTTTTAGTTGTGACTGATTCTTCATGATCCCATTTGGGGTTTTCTTGGCAAAGAAACTGGAGTGGTTTGCCATTTCCTTCTCTAGCTCATTTTACAGATGAGGAAACTGAGGCAGAGTTCAGTGACTTGCTCAGGGTCACACAATTAGTTAAGTGTCTGAGGCTGGATTTGAACTCAGATGTTCCTGACTATAGGCCCAATGTTCTATCCACTGTGCCACCTAGCTGCTCATGAATTCATTAAGAAACATGAAGTCTCCAGCAAAAGCTAATTTTCAAATTAGCTTTGGAGGCTTTGATAATAATGGTTGAGGGTGTTTCTCATTCAGAAAAATTTTATTCTTGGCCCTTAGCTCAAAAAATCATAATAAATTGTTTTTTCTCTTTTCTGGTTTTGACATGATGGGTATGAACTAGTTATCTAACCATCCAGCTGTCTAGTCCAGGCCATCTTACAGTTTCTCTGCCACTTGCCATAACACTTCCCACCCCAGTCCCTTTTCACTTCTCTTTCCCCGGCTACCACTTGCCTACAAATGTCGTCCCTTGTAAGAATGTAAGCTCCTTGAGGGCAGGAACTGTGTGTCTTTTTATATTTGTCTCCGGGACTAAGCAAAATGTGTGACACAGTAAATCCTTGCTAAATACCTTTTCATTCCTCCATTCCTTTCTTCCTTCCAACCTTCCTTCTTTCTTTCTCCTTCTTTCCCTCCTTGGTTCCTTCACACCTTTTCTACTTTAATCAACTTATCCAATCATGATCACCTGGGGCCTGTTCTGGCTTCTCCTATTTAGACCTATGACCTTGCTGCCAGTCTTGACCCCTCACTGGCACCATAAGGCAGCATGTGGCTCATGGAGAGTCCTTAGTTCTATAGATGATGTAGTGCCTGCCAAGTGGTAGGAAGTGCCATATTTTAAATGATATTTTATTGGGAATTATGCTAGGATAAAAATCATCTGAAAGTGTCATGTAAGAAGTCAAAAGCTTGCAAGCATATTAACAACTTATGTTAATTTCCCAGATGAAAGAGAAATACAGAAATGGCGCTCACTAGACTTGATATTGTGGAACTATAACAGTATGAAATGTGTAATATTTTAGACATATAGATTCCAAAAAATGTAAGTATCACAGGACAGGGGCATCCACAAGTCCCCAGTTCCTAAGAATCTTTCACCCTCAAACTCAGTGCTTTTAATAAATTAATTTAACATTTGTTATTGTGTACTATAATTACTTAATCCATTCCACTTTTCAAAAATTCTAATTATTAAGAATATCCCCTTTACCCTCCTACACATCAAAATTAAAGTTGCTTCTGCATTAATGACATACTGTGTAGCAGGTACTATGCTAAGGGCTGTAAATATCAAAAGAATGGCAAAACCAAAACAAATCCCAGTCCTTGCTCTCAAGAAGCTTCTCATTGAAGTTCACAGTCATGTACTATTGAGTTACCCTCTGGGTTTGCACCCCTTCAATTCTCTGTTATTGCCACCACAGGAATCATTTATATAGGAAGAGTTATACTGACCTAGACTAGGAGTTCTTAACCATTTTGCATGAGCCCCTCTGGCAGTCTGATGAAGCCTATGGACCCCCTTCTTAGTCAATAAACATTTTGTTAAGCACTTAGAATGTGTCCTCTACTAACTATTGAGAATATAAAGAAAGTTTTACCAAGAATACAAAGAAAGACAGTCCTTGCTCTCAAGGACCTTAAAGTGTTATGAGGTACACAACATGAAAACAATCATTTACAAACAAGCTATAAACAGGATAAATTGGAAATAATTCAAAAATAGAAGGAGCTAGAATGAAGGGAAATTGGTAAAGGCTTCTTGCAGAAGGTAGGATTTTAGGTGGCCCATGAAGGGATCCAGGGAAGCCAGGCATGGGGGATCTATGGCCAGTGAAAATGCCAGAAATTGGGGATAGAGTGTCTTTCTTAAGGAACAATAAGAAGACCAGTGTTACTGAATCACTGAGTAAGTAGTGGAATATAAAAATAAGACTAAAGGCAGCCATCTCTAGGGCACAGAGTGGGGGTGGGGAGAGAGAGGAAAAAATGTACATGATAAGTTTCTTTAAAAGGAATTGCAAATTGTACATAATAGATTTGCAGTTTCATGTGCAGTCATTTATTTTATCATATTTCATGGAAATGCTTGTTTTATTCTAACATTAAAAATAAATACAACAAAAAACTAAAGGTAAGCAGGAGCAGGGTATGAAGGGCTTTGAATAACAGAGTATTTTATATTTGATTCTTGCAATGAAAGTGAGCTACTGGAGTTTGTTGAGTAGCAGGGTTAGATGGTCAGACCTGTGCTTAAGGAAGATCACCTTGACATCCATCTGAGTGAAGGATGGCCTGGAGTAGAGAGAGGCCAATCAACAGACTATGGAGTAGTCCAGACATAAGATGGTAAGGGTCTGGTATCAGTATGGTAGCAATGCCAGAAGAAAGAAGGAATGTATACAAAAGATGTTATGATGGAATCATCTTCAGCCTTGGCAACAGATTAGATATAGAGAGCAAGAGTGAGGAGTCATGAACAACACCTAGATTGTGATCCTGTGGACTAGAAAGGTGGGGGTTACCCTCAATAGTAAAAAGAAGTTGGGGAGAAGGGAGGATTTAGGGCAAAAGTTGAGTTCAGCTTTGGACATGTAGAGTTTAAGATGTCTATGGGACATCCGCTTCAAGATGTCCAAGAAGTACTTGGAGATATGACCCTGGAGGTCAGCAGAGAGGTTTAGTGCCAGGTAAATGGATCTGAGCATCATCAGCAGAGACATGATAATTAAATCCTTGGAAGCTGATGAAATCAAATGAAAAATAAAAGAGAAAAATGAGTAGACCAGGACAGAACCCTGTGGGGCACCCAAGGTTAGTGGGCTTGTCCTAAATAATGATCTAGCAAAGGACAATGAGAAGTAATGATCCCTTAGGTAGGAGGAGTACTAGGAGAGGATAGTGTCAGGAATAACTAGAAAGAAGAAAGTATTGAGGAGAAGAGGGTGATCAATAGTGGCAAAGGCTGCAGATGAGGACTGAGAAAAGGCCATTAGATTGAGAAATTAGGGGATCTTGGATAACTTTGGAGAGAGCAGTTTAAGTTGAATGATGAAGTCAGAAGGCATATTCTAGAGAATGTAGAGAGTGAAGGGAAAGGAAATGGAGGCATTGATTTTAGATGGCTTTCTAAAGCAGCTTAGCCACAAAGGAGGAGAGATAACTTATAGCCTTGGGGGTAGAAGGGTTTTTTTGCAGGTGAAGAGAAATGGTCATGTTTGTACTTAGTAAGGAAGCAACCAGTAAATAGGTAAAGAATAAAGATAAAAATAGATAATGGAAAGAATACAAAAGAAAGTGTTATGGTAGAGAATAAAGTTGTTAAATGCATCAAACACATAGGGTTACAGGTGAAACCAATTATATTGAAAGTAGTTAAATATTTTAGACTAAATTATGGATTCTGGGTTAAGAACTGATTTGAACCCTGGAATCATTGGATAAAATATACAGTTCACATAGTTTCCTTAAGGCAACTTTGACTTCCTTGTTTCTCAGGCTATAGATGATAGGATTTAACATGGGTGTAATAATGCAGAAGAGGACAGAGGCCAAGATGACCACATCTAGGGAGTAGCCTGACCTGGGCCGGTCATAGTTGAAGTTTACAGTTCCATAGTAGATGAGCACCACAGTGAGATGAGAGGCACAGGTGGAGAAGGCTTTTTGTCTCCCTTGAGAAGACTGGATTTTCAAGATGGCAGAGATAATGAGCATATAGGACACAGCAGTGAAGAGGCAGGGGCTCAGACCAAAGATGGCACTGGTTACATAGATTGCAACTTCATTGACTGAAGTATCTGAGCAGGAGAGTTTCAGGAGTAAGGGAATATCACAGAGAAAATGGTTGATCTGGTTGGGACCACACAAAGTGAGTGTTGCCATGAGCCCCGTGTGTGTCAGAGAATTCACTACCCCACACAGCCAGGACCCAGCTGCTAAGTAGGCACAAACCCTCTTGCTCATGAGAACTGAGTAATGTAATGGGTAGCAAATGGCTATAAATCTGTCATAAGCCATAGCAGCCAACAGCACACACTCAGAGCCTGCAAAAGTAACAAGGAAGAAAATCTGGAATAGGCAGCCTTCATAAGTAATGGTCTTCTTCTCTCTGAAAAAGTTCACCAGCATGATGGGGA